TTGCGGTGGCGAGGGACCCTAAACATACCCGTATATTTTCCTCTATGAATAATTATTTGCTGGCAGTTGTTCAAAAAGCAATAGAAGCAATATACTCATTTCAGCCTCTTTGGGAGCAGCGCTTCCAGTTCTCTCATTTCTTTGCTGTCCCCAGAGCCTCCCTTGCTAACAACAATGTCATATACACACTGTAGATAAGTCTGGAAGACAGTTTAAATTATTTTTCAGTATATTCTGATAGCGGAAGAGCTAAACCGTATATTTTTGTGACAAATACAGCTATAAAAATTCTACGGTGTTTCCTTAGCCACGAGGGCAGCTTCTTAACAAGGGGACTATGGATTCCTCTTAGCACAGAGAATTTGATTTTAAAGTAAATTTCTTTTTACCTACCTGTGCAAATAAATTGAATGTGCCCAATCTCCTATCTCTTATTGAAAGTATGAGTCTTGATTAAAAAAAAAAAAAAAAAAAAAAAAATCATTAAAAAAGCCCCCCAAGCCTGGCATCGATGAGATATAGGATTTTGGGGTGGAGGGTTCAGGTGGGCACGGGGCACTTGGCACCCATGGGACCAGCCCAGCTGTGGGGAGGGGGCTGTGGGCACATGGTGGGGGGAGGTTTGGGGTCTCTGGAAGCCCTGGCAGGGAGGGAAGCTGGGGGGACGGACACACACAGTGCCCTCCATGTCCAAAAATGCACTGCATCGGCCCAGCAAGTGGAGACACAGCACATCCACCCCCTGCCCCACAACTGGGTATGGGGCCTTGGATCCCCCTGGGCACACAGCGTGGGGGGGAAGGGGCTCTGCAAGCCCCCCCTGAACACAAGGGGACCGGATCCAAATGTCCCCTGGACCACGAGGGGACCCAACCCAAAAGCCTGCCACCTGGGCCACGGGGATCTCGGACCCAAAGCCACAGTGGAGACTGGACCCAAAAGCCCCCCCCCAAGAAGAAAAAAAAACAAACCCCAAAAAAAAAACCAGCCCCAACCCATCACACAACTCCCCCCACAAAAAAAAGGCGATTTCTTCCCGGGCTGAACAGAGCAACATTTTGCTCCCCCTCCACCAGCTCCTGCTTCTAAATGAGCACTTTATCCCCAAATAAATCCCACTGAGTCGCCCTTTATGAAGGGCAGGGTCTGAGCTCCCCCCCACGCCACAAAATCCCTTCTCCTCCCTGCTAATCACGGCTCGTTATCTTGCTGGGGCTCCTCATTAAGCTCCTAATGAGGAAAAAAAAAAAATCCAAAAACCCACCAGGTTCTCCCTGCCTGGGCACAGCTTGGGGAGGGGGGGACAGGAGGGGACAGGGGTGTCTGCTGGGCCACCAGTGGCCACCCACTGGGGTGGGCAACACCTCCAGCATTTGCCTCCCCGCCCGTGGAGAGGGATGAGAAATGAGTCCATGGAGTACGGAGCTGCACATAAGTGAGTGTAATAATAATAAATAATAATAATACTACAATATAAATTTAAAGTTTACAGAGCCAGATGCAAATCAGAGGGTGCCCTGACGGGGCTTTGGGGACAAAGTGACCTCCAGAGCCATTCAGCCCAACCGCTGCCCCGCGGGAGGGACAAAAAGCAGCCTGAAGAAGCCTAATTTATTCTAAAAATACTCCGCTCCTTTGTTTTAAGTAATGCTTGGTTTCAGTTATTGCTCTCGCACTTCCCCATTCCTCAAGCCTTACCAAAAAATGGAGCAATCCTGGGGATTTGAGAGCCCACTGTAAGACTGACGGTTACTTTCCGCTCCTTTCTACCCCAAAACCCAGCCTCACCCCATCCTTCACCCCAGCCCCCTCCCTGGTTTGCAAATTAGGGATAATGAACTACTTTAATTGCACGTTTTGAGCGTTTCCCATCTTGCCCAAGAAAGCCAAGTTACAGAAAAGTGCATTATAACAGGAAAACGCAACCCATTTCATCCACGAGGCACCGTGCCCCTAAAAAAATATGGGTTTTTTTGGGGGGGGTGTGGGGACCCTACCTTCTGCGCGTCGCCGGTGAAGTAGGCGATGGTCAAGGTGGGCAGGATCATGAACAGGGCATTGTAATAAAGCAAACCATATTTTCCCAGCTCCTGGAAAATAAGAAACCCATCTGTAGATTTCCAAACGGGAAACATAAAACCTTTGGGATAAAGGGGAAAAATTCGGGAGAAACATCCTCAGTCTTGTTATGGAGGACGGGGTCTTGGGAGCTAAATCCACCGGGGGTTGAAGAGTTGGAAGGTTTGAGGCTTTTTTAAATGTATATATATGAAAATGTATATATTTTTCTAATTTTATAGAGATATATATAATTTTGTATATAAATATCTCCCTGTTTTGCCCCCTCGGATGCCCAGAAGGATGCTGGTGCTCAGCCTTACCTTAGAATCCAGCTTCTGCTTCACGTAGGCACCGTTCGCGGCCGTTAAGGCATCGTTAATGAGGATAAAAATATACCCCTCCAGGTCGAACGCCAAGTCAGCGCTGGGAAAGGGGGAAAAAATAAAAAAAATTATAAAAATAACCCAACACCGTAAGTTAAAAAAAAGCTTTGAGCTGCCCAGAGATTCCTTCCACCTTCCGTTTAGGCAGAAAGTCGTCAGAAAAAGTTAAATCATGGGAGGAGGGACTGGGATTGGGCCGGTAAGACATTCTTTCCTACTGGAGAATGTGGCTGGGGGGGGAAAAAGTCAGTATTTTCTCTCTCTGTTTTCTCAGGACACGCCGTGGGGCTTGTCTGACCTTATTGGGGACCCCTGTGAGAGGGGAGGGGGGACAGCAGGGGGGGGGCTCACCTGGCAGCCACAAAGGCACCGAGGATCATGGCGAACACCGTCATCTGAACGCTCCAGGAGAACTTCTTCCTGCAAAAAAATAAAGAAAAGTGGAGAGAAGAACACACCATTATCCACCAGTCTCATCTTCTGGAGGTATCGCGAGCGCCTTCCCCCCAGCAACACAGGGAGGGGGCAAAAAACCCCCAGCAAACCCTCCCCCCCCGTGGGGAAGCAGCAAGGGAAAACAAGGCGTTTTCAGGCAATTATTTCTGTAATTAAAAAAAAAAAAAAATCATTAAAAAAGCCCCCCAAGCCTGGCATCGATGAGATATAGGATTTTGGGGTGGAGGGTTCAGGTGGGCACGGGGCACTTGGCACCCATGGGACCAGCCCAGCTGTGGGGAGGGGGCTGTGGGCACATGGTGGGGGGAGGTTTGGGGTCTCTGGAAGCCCTGGCAGGGAGGGAAGCTGGGGGGACACACACACACAGTGCCCTCCATGTCCAAAAATGCACTGCATCGGCCCAGCAAGTGGAGACACAGCACATCCACCCCCTGCCCCACAACTGGGTATGGGGCCTTGGATCCCCCTGGGCACACAGCGTGGGGGGGAAGGGGCTCTGCAAGCCCCCCCTGAACACAAGGGGACCGGATCCAAATGTCCCCTGGACCACGAGGGGACCCAACCCAAAAGCCTGCCACCTGGGCCACGGGGATCTCGGACCCAAAGCCACAGTGGAGACTGGACCCAAAAGCCCCCCCCCAAGCAAGACAAGGGGGACCTGACCCAAATGTCACCCCCAGACCACAGAGGGACCCAACTCAAAAGCCTCCCCCCCAGACCATAAGGGGGATCAC